TTCCAGAAGTAGCCGCTATTTATTTGCTGCTTTCCCCTCCAATCTTTCCTCCATCAAGTACACAGATCTTCTCATTTGAACCTCAAAACAATACTGCAAGACAGATAGGGCTGAGAACATGTATGTGACAGAGACTGCACCATAGCAGCTCTATAGGTGCATTTTTTTGGGGGGAGGGGGCTCTGAAGCAGACAAACACAAGACAAACAGTTTGGGTTTTGCACTCACAACAGATGTTAAAATCAGCTTAACATAACTATAAAGACTGCTGTTGTGAATAGGACACTCTGTTTTTACCAAGTATATATTCGGACCAGTGTTTCTTCTAAGCTGAGTTAGTGTGAGCTAGCTCATGGTTTTTTAGCCTCCGGCTCCCACATTTTTGTCTTAGCTCAGAAAGCAAACTAATTTATGCAGTAGCCAAATCACTCACTCACAACTTTAATGCTAGTAGCTCACAAAGCAGAATTTTTGCTCACAAGACTCCTCAGCTTAGAGGGAGTATTGATTCAGACACTGCCTAGAGATGTCACAGATCTCTTACAATTCATGGCCTATTATCCCTCCTGTTTGCATGTTTATTCTCTGTACTCATCCACAGGTATGGATTATGCATGCCAATTGAAAACAGTACTTCAGGCACCTGATGGAACAGGCTCTAGACCAGGAATGCTCATGCCACACTAATCCCGTTAGTCTTTAAAATGCCGTAAGATTCTTTGTTGAGTTGGCCATCCAGAACAGACAATGCTAGAATGAGATGGGGCAATTTAGCATAAGGCAGCTTCATAAAGGGGAATAGACCATGAAAGCAATCTAAGGAGGACTGGAAACAACAAGTGTTGAATTGTCACAGAAAACAAGGGAACAGAAAGAGAAACAGAAATTTTGGAAGAATGAATTAAAATAATATAGTGGGCCGGAGGAGACAGGCATTCATCTCTATGTGTGGCCTTGGGTAGGTCCCACATTGAAGCATAAATATAGCACTGCTGTATTTCAATATTGTACTCTATTGATGGTGACTGAGATGGAGTGGGGGGGGGGAGCCCTAGCCTCACATTGACTTTCTCACAATGAACAACCACATCACAAAACTTGGCTGTGAGTGTAAGATTATGGTTTTAAATGATTTTTTAAAAAAATAATGTTTGATAAGGCTTTGAAACAATTCTCCAAAATCTCATTCACCCCTTCTGTAGTATACAGACGTAAGATTCTATAAAAAGGCCTCACAATAGATGACTTCATGGCACCACCCATTCCATTCAAAAAGCTATGCAAAAGGTCTCCTCTTCTCTCTATGCCTTCCATTCCTGAGCTGCTGCATTAAGCTTATGAATTACCAAAGGGCCATGGGTTAATGGGCAAGCAATACTTTGGGCAGGATGGATGGGAACACAGGCTGACAGCATGTTATTAGTTAATGGACTGTAGGGCCCTTGCACAATCTAATCAAATGACTGGCAGTCAGAGAAGAAACTATGAAAAGTCAAGAAAATAAGAGGTCAAGGAAAGTTAGCAATGTTCAGTATCCCAAAGGAAAACAAAGAGGTAAAACCTACATGCATTTAATGAGAACTTTTTGCAGACAGCTTAGATGTTGAAGGGCTCTGTGTTTAGCACAGAGTATAAACAACATAACCAATTCCAATACAATATAAAACATTTCTCAATTTCATCTTGCACAATCAATTTTTCTTTGCAAAACCGGCACATTCCAGCCACATAAAGACAACAGCCAGGACTGGTGTTTATATTTATGCTCAGAGCGTCCTACAAGAGGGCGTCTAACCACAAGCAGCTCATCGTCACAAGACAAGTCTTGCATCACACCGGAAGGAGAGGTGATGCAGACATTCCTTCCTGAAAATATCTTGTTTGTGTGTTTTCCATTCAAAACATGAGGCTGTCATTTGTTGGGATGAATTGCTCTGAAGATTAGCAAGGGGAAAGTTGTCTTTTGCTGTAGGCTGCTTCTGCAATAAACCATCATGGGCCGTTTATAACTATTAAATGATTAGTCTAGCTAGGATAAAGAGGCTACATACAAAAATCAATGAGGAAATGGGTTTCACAAAACAAGTCACAAGAAACAGAACTGCCACTGCTTCAGTATGTGGCTCCCTGAATGGGAGGTGTAACTAAGAGGTCAAAACTATGAAGACTTCATTGCTAGTTGTATGGGCTGAAAAATGGGGTGGATGAATCCTGTACTTCCCCTTTATTGCGGAGAAACTAGGAATGGCCTTTTTAGAACTGGTGGGTTGAGGCCTGATTCACACCCGATGCTGGCAGATCAAGAGAACTTACCTCGTGTCTTTGCCTGTGTCCAGCATCTTGTTTAAACTGGGCCCTCAGGAACCCCACTTCAGATTCATACTCCATGCAAGTGCTGCGCTGGAGTACAAATCATATGTGCTTAAGCACTCTGCAAGCACACCAGGTCAGCGCACCATGAGATGTTGGGCACATGCATAGTCACACATGTCAGTTCATTCATCCAGTGAAATGCCATATTTCTATCAGGCCTAGATTCTTGTTGAGAGTGGCACTGAATCCACAAAGGGAAAAGTTCATTTACACTGACCACAGGGATTCTTCAGGAAAGCACAGACATGCTTGACAAAGAATGCTCATTGTGTGTTCTACGGCAGAGATACCTGCCCATCTTCACAGCTGATCCAACAAAGCATTCCAGCAAATCTGCTGATTCAGGCTGTTCCTCTTGTCCTCCCTTGCCCCTCTGCTGCTTGCTCTACCTGAGGAAATTAACCAAGTACCCTGCAGCTGGAAGCTTCCTGCCTCAGGCAATTAGCTGTAGGCTACTTTGGTTGCTTTCAGAAGGGTGTGGCAGCAACAGCACGTGGTGCAGAACTGGAGCTGATGTGTCCCATTACCACACTGCTTTCTTTGCTGCCATTCCCACTTCTGTTCCCAGGGCCGGCCCGAGGTTGGCATGCGCTCTAGGAGAGGGCAGATGCCAACCTCCCGGCGGGGCCTGGGGACCTCTCCGGCAGGCCGTCCATCCTCCTCCCCCTCAGCTGAGCCGCGCCCCCCGTCCGCCAGCCGAGCCAGGGAGCAGGAGGCGTGGAGGCGGGCTACCTGGCTAGCGGGTGTGGGCGAGCCTCTCCCCCCCAACACCACCACAAGCGGCGGCGGCGTGGGGGAGGTCTGCCTTGCCACCCCCCAACCACGCACCCACGTGTCAGCTCGGGCCCCCCCTCCCCTCGCCGCCACCCAGTCCTGCCGGCCGGAGCCCCTCACATCGCCTCCCCCCTACCTGCAGAGGAGGAGGAAGAGAAGCGCCAGCCAGGAGCGCCTCCCCGGCGGCAGTGCCGGGATTTCCCACTCGGGGCGCTGATTGGGCCGATGGCCCAGCAGCGGCCCCGGGGATTGGCTCCCTGCCTGCCTCGCCACAGGCCGCCCGGTCAGCGCTCCCTTTGGTCCCCTTCCCCCGCCCTTCTTGCCATGGCTGCAGGCGAGGAGAGGCTGCCGGCGGCCGCCCCTGCCTCTCCTCCCGCGCCCCAATGGCCGGCTCGCACTCTAGGCGAAGGCCTAGTTCGCCTAGTGGGCGAGCCGGCCCTGTCTGTTCCTCACTGTTGTGTCTGCAGATTGCACAGGAACACCTGCCCCCACAGTCCAGCCTCTCCTTTATAGGGCTCTTTCTCCCCAACTTCAATGTAGTGTTACAGGACTACTTGGTAAAGAAGTGTGGGGAAATCCCTTTAAGGGGTTGAAGGGAGGGAGAATGAGGAGCATAACTCTGTCATTTTGAAGGCAGAGCTTTCCCTAGCTTCCCAAGGTAGCTGTAAGGGAGCATCCAGATGGTCACTCTGATAGCAGTTACCCCACAGGTTCTTCTTTTAAAGAAAAAGACATTTGTATTTTCTCCAGAGTAAAGGAGAAGAATACAAAACTCAGGTCCCTGCCACATGAGGGGAAAGAAACGCGCGAAAGTGATCCCTGGAGCCGCGGTGCATTCCCTCCCCGGCATGATCAGATGCCAAGGAAAGCGACAGTGGGGAACGGGAGACTGCCGAACTACGCATGTCTGAGCATGTGCAGTTCAGCCAGGAGCCGGGGATGCGCCGGCAGAAGGACGCGCTGGCGATCCCACGGCCAGCCTTGATGCGGCCGCGCTGGAAGAACCACCTCGGTAGGTGGTATATTTTTGCTGCGACTTTTCAGGGGTTGGGACAGATCGGGGACGGGTGCGCACTGCTTCCCAGATGTTGCGGTGAGATCGCGCCCGTTTGCTGCGCCCCCAATCCGTCCCTCTCCCGGGCCAAACTTTTACGTGTGACCAGGGCCCAAGACAAGTTGTGCACAGAGTGGGCGCAAGGCCATTTGGATGCTCCTGTGTACTGTGGGTGGAGGGGGAGCATGCTGCCCCATATGGAAGCAGTTATCCTCTTTGAGTCAGAGTAGGAGGCAGGAAGAAGAAGAAGAGGAGGAGGAGGAGATTGGATTTATACCCCGACCTTCACTACCCAAAGGTGTCTCAGAGTGGCTTACAAACTCCTTTCCCTTCCCCTCCCCACAACAGGCACCCTGTGAGGTAGGTGGGGCTGAGAGAGCTCTGACGGAAACTGTTCTTTTTTAAGAACAGCTCTTATCAGAACTACACCTTGCCCAAGGTCATCCAGTCAGGTGCAAGTGGAGGAGTGGGGAATCAAACCCGGTTCTCCCAAATTAGAGTCCGTGCACTTAACCACTACACCAAAGTACACCAAGAGTGGGGAAGGGCAAGGTCAATAGGCTGGTACCTGCATGTCAGTTCAGTAGCAAAAGTGTGTTTGCAGGATATTCACAGCAATGTTAAGCCCCACTCCCCCATTTTTATATATGCATAAATAATGCAAGTATAATAACTTCATCTTCTCCTCCCTGTAAAAGTTAAAGTGCTTATAAAGGAACTGGAGTATTCCTACTATGTCACATACTGCAGTCTTAATATTTTCAAGTGCAGCTGGGTAAGCTGCTTCTAGCCAACTTACTCTTTGGGGGGATTTAAGTCCTCTGGTCTTGTTTCAAAGAAGCGAAGAACCTCATCACACTGAGAGATGTATCCAGGCAGCTGGATCAGAGCCTGCAAGAGAAAAACACTGTTTGGAAAGTGAAAGAGCTGGTGCACCAATCACACAGTGCACACACGGAAATCTTTTTGTGTTTGGACTGTAAACAGGGTGGGCCAAGTACATTTTTAGTTCAATGTGATGCTCACCACCAAAAATTTGCCACAGGAACACTGGACTGCTCCCTCCCTCCCCAGTATGGATTTTGGTTCATGATAACCTATCCAATCATCACAACACACTTTCAGATATATAAAAAGTAACAGAAGTGTCCTAAGCACTTAGACAATTAAAAGCACTGGTCTTCCTGACTATTCAGATCTTAGCATTAGTAAGTACTTTCATTTTTCATTTGTTGCTTGCAGCTTGTCCATTGTCCCTCAACACTGAACTTCTGTTCTGGGAATTTTGCATTTTTACAAGCACAGCAGTTTTTGTATTTACTGTACAGAATTCCAGGAGCCACTGGAAGGTCTTTTCTAAGGGGATTACTGGCAAGTGCCCCTGAACTGTAAAAATGAAATAAAATTGAAGACTGTCCATTCTGCTGATGCACTGATGATCACAATAACTTAGCAAGGATATAGTGCTTTAAAGTAAATCCCTCATTCTCTGTGGTTAAAAGGAGGCTGGGGCTGGGAGGGGGTCATTTTACCACAATGACATCACTTGGTGGTGCCATGTTCCACTAGACACTCAGCAGCCATGTGCCTGCATGGTGTGGTTGCCAAGGCTCCAGCAATTCTACCACTTTCCAACAGCCTTCAGCAAGAGCTCTACATTCCCTTCCCCCTTCAGCAGCATTTAGTGATGGGAGATGAAATACTCCCTGTGCAACACCCATGAACCATTGCTGATTGTTTCACTAGATTTTTGGATTCCACATAAGGGCAGATTCTGCTTTTTTGAACTGTTCTGCTAGCTGGGGCTGCACACATACAGGACAGGTGGGAAAAGGCTTCACTTGCACATCCTGCAATAAAAGCAGGAAGAGTTGTACTTAGACAAAGTCAGGCAGCAATGGTTAGCCCTGCAGAGACATGCTGCATGTAGTTGCTGGGGACCAGAAAAGGCTGCAGGGAGGGGAGCGAGTCCAAGGCAATTGGCAATCTATTTACCATGCAGATTGACTGGGAGGGAGATAAAAGAACAAGCTTCACCTATGTACACACAAAACACCAGATGAGATGCAGGAAATCAGGGATGAGGTCTCTCCAACAAAGAGATAGCAAAGTGCTGATTCAGGATCTGAGCTGTCTCAATGTCTGCAATTTCAAGTTAAGATTCTAAACATCTGCCTCTCTTCTTTGATACAGATCACATCTTCACTAGCTGCTATTAGATACAGATCACATCTAGCCCAATCATGCCAGATCTCAGCAGCTGAGCAGGGTCAGCTCTGGTTAGTATCTGAATGGCAGACCGCCAATGAATGCCAGGGTCACTACAGAGAGGCAGGCAATGGCAAAGCATCTCTGAATATCTCTTGTCTCAAAAATCCTACATGGTCGCCATAAGTTGGCTGTGACTTGATGGCCAAAAAAAGAAGGTCTACAGTTTTTTTACTCATCAGTCTTTGATTGTTCACAATGCCACAAAGCCCCTGGCCAATCCTAGTTACTTCAAATGTCATTACTATGCTTTGATCAAGGGATGTTGCAAATTCTCTTGTTTGGCAGTCAAACTTTCTTTGATGCTCACAATCAGAATGAAAGCCTATCAGGGATATATTTAGATTGCATCAAGCAACTTGTACAACTGTCGAACAAGTTTCCGGCTGCCTGTTGCTCAGAGTCCAAGGCAACTACAGAGTCCAAGGCAACTACAGCTGTATTTTTGTAAAAAAAATCCCCCCTCCCCAATTTGAGTTTCTCAGGAAAGGAAGGGAAAAATCACTCACATGCCAGTTCACCACTCCCAATGCCCACTCAGCATAGGAAGCCTTCTTTCTAAAGTTCAGGGAGATGGGGGAAAGTGTTCCTGATCTATAGGCAGAGTCCTCCTGAATGTACTAACATCTTACTCCTCAGCACTTCCATAGTTTCCAAAAATTAAGTCTGGCATTTGAAACCGGAAATTAGGGGCACATTTTTGGGTTATCAGATAAATCATTTTTATTCCATTTAGCCATAGGTCCTAAACACAACAGCAGGCACACACAAACACTTCCAGCACTTTTCCCCACTCACATTCTGAAAATGCAGGTAGGGAAGTGGGTAAATCACATCCTATCAGAGTAAGATGCTAGACAGAGATGCTCAGTCAGGACAGTCTTGCTGTGGGTGGTATGCAGACTAAATTGGCAGCTCTCACTGATTTCCCCTATGTGCTGCATACACCCCTCATGACATTCCTCAGAGCCTCTAAGGTCCAAGGAGCAGCATTTTGTGGAGCTCAGTCGGTTGCTATGGGAGGAGGGAGGGAGGCAAATGCCATTCTGCCACTGGAAGATTTAGTCAGGATCCAACCCAGTAGTTTTATAGTTACTACTCCATAACAAGAAAACAGCAAACCATTTCAAAGGCAAGACCAGGGCAACTTTGTGTAATGTTGTTATTAGAGATGATTTGGAAAGCAACATTCGTCTAGATGCATCTCATCTCTACCCTCAATAAAACTTCTGCAACAAGACTGGCTCTGGATGTGGGTTCTGTACCAGCTAGTGAGCAATACCCTAACAGTCTCTACAGGAGTTTGAAAGGACAGCTCTTAAGAGTATCTGTGTTTCTTTTGGGCCAAAGCCTGAAATAGTTCCTTCTCCCCAGAGTGTAGCCAGAAAATTTTTGTTGGAGGGGCAACAAAGGGGACAGTTTAATACAGTGGAGCTGACAGCTCAGGGTAGGCTGGCAGAGGGTGAGTGGGGAGTGTGAGGGAGGAAGAGGCGGGTGCAGGGCATGGGGGAGTTGGGGTAGAGGGTTGCTGGAACCCCCGCGATCAGCTCACCTGGCTCGCCATCTCTTTTGCATAATGCTCGGTGCCATCCATTGCTATTGCTGCCACTGCTAAAAGCAGAAACTCTGGCCCGAGGAGGACACCTGGTGCAAAACCACCAGAGAAAGAGAGAGAGAGAGAGAGAGAGCCACTTAGAGAGGGAAGAAACGATGGCAGGTGCCTGCCTGCTACTGGACAGCCAGCCAGACCTGTGGCAACATGAGTGGTTCCATCTCAGCCCATGGGAGAGGAGCAAGCAGAGGAGGTGGAAGACATGGCACTTTTGGCCCCTGACGTGTCCTTGCTGAACTGGGCTGGGTGCTTTCCCCACCAGAGTGACTCACCTGCTGCCTGAATGGTGCCAGAATGCCCATGGTGGTTGCAGGACAGCAGGGGAGGAGAATGGAGGGAGGGTGGCAGGCTTTCCTTTTTTGAGGGTAACATCCTGCTCCGAAGTAGCGCAAAATAGTAGGCCTCATGAGGATGAGGGCCTGTGGCAGTGCACCTGCTGAGCAAGAGAGACAGAGAGTCTCTCTCTCTGAGCCAGTCAGAGAGCCAGTCAGGGCTGGCTGAAGGCGGGGGGGGCTCGAACCCTCCCCTCCAAAAAAACCCAGGCCTCCTTGCGGGGTTCTTCTCCCTCAGCCCTGGCTTTGGTGACCTCCAGCAGGGTGGGAAAACTGGGTGGGCACAGGAGCTGCCAATTCCTGCCCCGCCGAAGCAGGCAGCCCACAGCCAATCACAGGAACAGCTGTTTGGTGAGAAGACAGGGCAAATTTGGGAGGGGGTGTCACCCTTATCAGCCCCTTCATGGCTACGGGCCTGCTTCTCCCATCTGCCTACAAGTACTGGATAAATCAGGGAGCAGATACAGAGTGCATCTACCTAAAGGTCTGCAGACTAAAAATCTGGGATGGAAGCAGCAGAACTAGGGAAATGTTTCAAAGCATAAATTGCAATCCCTCAATGAGATCTATGGTCCTTTTCACATGCAGAACTATAAATGCCACCACTGCATGGCCTTTCAACGATCAGATGGAAGTAACTGCAGTTCCACAGGCCACTTAGTATCAAACTATATCCCCAGTGCTCACCTACCATGGCAAAGGCAAAACTGGACGGTACATAACAGCCTTGTCATGTTGCAGCCACCAGAAGGCTTGCTGAGCAAGCTCCTTGCTTGCCCACCTGTTTTCCCTGATATATTATCACTCACCAACAGATTACTACACCAGTGTTTTCCCCACACATTTTGCAAATACAGAAAGCTTTGGGGCTGGTTCCATGTTTTGAAGGGCTGTGAGCAGAGGATGCTCAGGGGAAGGCCCTCCCCTGCCTGCTCATGAACCCTCCTACCACCCATGCTCACAGCTACTTGCATACCCTTTCCTCAACAACACTAGATGGTTTGTATGGCTGAGGGCCGCCATCATTGCAGGCGCTTCCTCCAGATCTGGTGGTGCCTGCTGCTGATCGGCCATGGACATAAAGAACAGTACCATCTTTATGTCCGCTGGTGCAACCAGCGACCAGGCAATGTCAAACACGCTTTTGCCACACAAGCTCAGTAGGGTTACCCGCTTCTTCTCTTCGGTCGCGATGTCGTTCGCTTCAAGGTGGAACCTGAACCGCGTCAGGTAAGCGTCCCAGTCCTCGGTGGTGGGTTTGAATGCCTCGAACTTCTGGCTATTGGCCATCATTGCAGGCGCTTCCTCCAGATCTGGTGGTGCCTGCTGCTGATCGGCCACGGCGCGATGCTCGCTGTTGTCCGTCGTGGGATTGCTTTAAGCGGGGCTGCCTACCCGCCTTAAGATCCCACCAATTGTTAAGTCGCTCACTTAACAGAATAGTTGGAGAGTGATTCAGCAAAGATTCAGCTTTATTCAACAACTCGAACACAACTCCAACACGGATCAACATGAATAGCCAGAACAGCTTTTGCATTGAAGCTGTTCTGCTTTTAAACTCTCCTGGCTAATGTAGCCACGCCTACTATACAAACACCAACCTATTAGGTTGTCCACATAAAGACCAATCACGGATGTTCCCGCTCAGGGAGCTTGCTGGTACTTGATTGGCTGGTTCT